ATTTTTTTTTATTTTTTTATTTAAAATTAGAGCCAAACAAATAATATATTGAATCGCTATTTGAATTCGACCTGGAATATTTTAGCTGTTTAATGCTCTTATAAGGCCTATTTGCATTATGTATAGTATACTTTCAGGCTGATAATGAAAATCTGGCTCAGCTCTTCAAAATTTTGCATTTTTATTGCATACTTTTTGGTTTGGCAATTAAAAAGGCAAGACACATGTGTTTTCTCTAATCTTGATTAATTATTTCGATTTACCAAAGTACAAAGTACACAAGTTTAATTGGCCAACGTATAACTACATTTATATTAAAAGTTAATTTCCATACATACATTTTCATTGTCACCTCGCTTAGTTGCACGCTAGAAAGCATTTACATATAACAATATTACGTATACGCACGCACGTTGTTGCCTTCTACCAGGAATTGCACTAATTTTCTTGCATTCCACGGAACTGTGTCACGCCCTTCTGACGCCCCATGCAAACACGAACTGATGCTGTCAGTGTGCACGCACTTGACAGAGGCCTAGGACGCGCCTACACACACACACACACACGCACGCATACAGTCGCTGATGGCGTCCCGCTTGAAATTGAGGACATGAAAAGTCGAAGCCGATTGGGGGTGGGGGCGGCCGGTTGTCGATCCACTTACCAGTGTCATTCAACCTGAGGGAAAAGAAGACAGCATGCACACTCACACACACGCACGCACACACACACACACACGTACACAATTGCACTGCTGGTTAGTTGTAGCTGTACTATTTTACTCTCTATTTATGTTAGTGCGCACATGTGTGTGTGGCCGTGTATGTGAGTGTGTGTGTATTCATTCATGCCTTGTGGCACACAAATTCGTAAACAAAACGTTCATCCGAATATTGGTCAAAATGAAATCGATAAAATGAATGCCAGAGCTAATAAATATATGGACAACGCCAAGCATTGGCCCAACTGTCGACACATTGATGACGGGTAATCCAGAAAAGCCCAGATTGCTCAGTCGAGACGTTTTATTAAAATATTTGTTATTTATGCAGGCCTTAGTTTGAATTTCAAACGCTTTCGCGCTCTACGCGCAGGCGCTGCCTCTCCATTTGACTGACAGAGAGATGGTGGCAGAGAGAGGGCGAGAGAGTGAGCGAGAGAGAGATTGAAAAACGCCGGCAAGCAGCCGCCGCAGTTGCGGCAGCAGCACTAACACCATCACCAGCTATCCCATGCGACGCCTGGGCACAACCAAAACAAAGCCCAAAAAATATGTGTGTCAGCTGCTTTGCTTGTGCTTTTCTATCCTGCTGGGCTTTCCACTCAAATTCGCGCTGTTTTTCCGCTGCCTGCTGTGTGTCGCATGCTTCGCCATTGCTCATTGCCTGTACACACACACACAGAGATACCCTCACACACACACACATACTTGAATATGCGTGGCTCGGCAGTTTCATTTGATATTCAGTTCAGTTAGTCGTAGTTGAACGGTCGTAGCTTTTGGTCGTCTCGTCTGAGCAGCTCATCAAGTTCTGGCAACGCAACGTTTGAAAAATGTGCTACTGAAACGCCAATTCCCTATACAAAATATATATATATAAATAAAAATAAATAAAAAGTACGGCAGCTACCAGTGCGTGTGTGTCTCCGAGTGAGAGTGTGCCAGTTTGTGTTTATTGCCAAAGCATGGGTCGCAAAGCAATATGACGGCTTAGCTAAAAGAAATTATATAATTTTATAGAAACCGCATGTAAATTTCTCTAATCCACAATTGTGTCGCTCAGCCGTTGCCAGAGCAGTCGAACATAACAGACAACTAACTAATCAAAGCCAGCGCCGATTGAGGCTTGACATGCTCCAATATCCGCAGTGTAGCATACTTTTGTGCGCCCGCTAAAAACATGTGAGTCCCGGTTGTTGTCTCTGCTAAGCGCTGTGGCCTGAGCACCCCATGCATTGTTTTGCCGTTGTATTGTGTTCGTCTTTGCCTTTTTGTTCGCATTTCATGCGTTTCCGTCGGGTTTCCTTTTCTTTATTGTCTTTTTGTTTTTTTGTGTTGGCTTACTTAGTGAAATTTATACCTAGTAACGGAATTGGGTATTTGAGAGCAGCGAGCTTCCAGTCATATCAGTTTGATATGGCCTCACATAATTATCGCTTTTATATACCAGTTTCGAGAATTACATATCCTGCGACCTCCTTCCACAAGAAAAGTACAATAATAGTAATGCGGAAGCAAGTGTTTTCTTTTGTTGTTGGTTTTTTTTTTTTTTTTTTTTTTTTTTTTATAAGAGCGTGAAATGAAATTGGCGCAGCGAAGGTCTGCGATTTGAATTTAGTAGCGATAGTGCAAGGGTATTTAATAAGGTTTCATTTGAGCGCGTCTAATGTCCTTAATCATGGAATACTTCGCACGTTTGTTGTTGTTGTTGTTGCTGTTATAGCCCGTTCACATGCTGTGCACTCGATGATGATATCATTGATAGCATTCCATTCCAATGAGCCCGCTGTTTGCCAATTAAAGCCGGCATGAAGCAGGTCGTTGACCAAGCGCATTATCTTCGCAATATAATGGTATTATACGTGCTTATAACCATATGTTATCTATGGCATACTTACTCATACGTGCGTCATTCCAAATACGTAGCATAGAATCTTGGGTATGGCATGAAAGTGCGCCCTTTGCCAAGAACCACAACAAACAACAACGCAGCACACACACACACACACGCACACGCACACACACATTCGCTAACACAAATACAAAGACAAATACACGCTCACACATCGGAGTTTTGTGGTCATTGTGTTTACGGCCGGACAATGACACAAATGCGGCTAACAAAATAGGGAAGCGAAAGTAAATACAAAGCAAAATTTTGGCACAAAAAAGAAAAACAAAAAACAAAAAAAGAAGAACATGGAACAAACAAAGTTGCAGCAAATTTTTCATTGAAGGCTTGGAAATATCAACCGATTTTTCTTTCACTGCAGTGACAGGCATTTTAATTTCGTGTGGACTTTCCCCCTTGCTTTGAGGACATTTTAATGTTTGTTCGGGCTGGCAAGTTCAACAAGAACTCTCTACAATTAATTACCGAGACGCCTGTTTACTTTGGCGTTCATTAGGCGCTCTCCGACTTTTCTGGCAACCTGATTAAATTTGAATATCGTGTTAGATGTGGCGCACGCATCTTTTGTCACCAGGCGGTAGAAAAATATTTTATTTGCGTACGCACGAGTTATTTTCATATTAGTGATTCCGGGAAAAATGAAAAGCATTTGCGCAAGGGTTATGCGAAATTCAATCGCGTATGTAAGGGTATTTAATGCGTCAGCAAACAGCTTGTGGGCGGAGTCAAAGCCAAGCGCAGCTGTCGATTTTAAGTATCAGGCATCAGTAATGCGTATACGCACCGTATACTTGGCCCGGGCCCGCCGGAGCGCTCATGCGGACTGGGTGGGTGATTGGTTGGCTTAGCGAGTGCTACTGCTTTTTAATGAAGTCATGTGAAGCAGTCGCAGATTTACCACTGATTTATGAGTAGACATACGTATATATGTAGGTATGTCGCCTCTCAGGCGCAAAAGCAGCCCAACATCAATCAGTGGCTCCAGTGCTGTGCGTCAGTTGCCCCGGTAATTGCCACGAATTTGGCCTAATGCAGCCCAACCGGA